AAATGGCAGGCGTTTTGATAGCTATCATAAGCCATTTAGCTGACTTCAGGCTTCACAGAGGGAAGGTTCATCAAATTAGTAGAAAGTCGAGGGGTGGGGAACAGAAGAGCGATTCACATATGTAAAAGAGGCAGACAGACACGAAGGTAGAGGAAAAGGTAAGATGAGTACTGTAGAAGGGGTCGAATATGACAAGCAATCGGGCCATGGTAGTTTGAAGTCAGAAGTCAACTGCCGGTTAATAGGATTTTTTTCGTATGAGTATACGTTGCCCAGGGTGCACCACGTGGAGGTAGGTCTATCGCACACCCCTAATTTATTTATGAACAATAATTTGTCGATAATTTATTTACTCAGTCTTACTACTTTTCGAACGGCAATGGAGCTGGGATGTAAATGCTTCATGGCAAATAAACTTTTTGTTGACACAAAGTGAGAACATATTTTCACTTTATGACAACCACATAAAATTAAAGACGTAAAAATATAATTTAGAAGTTTATATTTGTAGGCGGGATAAATGTTCTACCATATTGCATTACGGTACGTGGGGCGTATAAATATCGGTACTATTATGATATTGATTCTTGCACTTCTTACAGATTTAATTATCTCCTTTCTTAACTCCGAACAGCAGTCATAATTGAAGTACATTGAGGTTACTGCGGTACCTAATTGGGTTCAATCGAAGTGGTTATTTTGCTTTTGACCTTTCATTTCGAATTAGCGCAACAGATAAGGTATTGCAATTAATTTGACTTCCTTTAGGAATAGTTAATTTGAATTAAACAAGAAGAAGATATGATGTCTATGCATGTCGAGATAAGTTTATGTGTAAAAAAAAGAATTCGTCATTATTTTCCAATTTCACTTCTCTCACACTCTCTAAACTGGTAGATGATGTATTTGAAACATTCTGCAAGAATTTAGTTTTAGAATTAGAAGGCATGAAAAACTTAATACGCTTCTTTTATAAAAATACACTGTAAACCTGACCTTTCCTATTATAGATTTAGTTCAACTCTAGCTCATACAATTTATTGTGAATTATCATAACTCGATGAATCTTTTTTCCTTTTACATTCGTAACTTGAAAATAAGCAAAGAAATTTCAGCTCATTTCTTTGTATTTGCAAAATAGCCATTAAAAACAGAATTAGAGTTGCTCGCTTTATCAGTAACCAATAAAATTTGTCCACAGAACACTTAACAAAACCTACCAGCCAATTAGAATTGTGAAAATAAGCCGGCCTTCGCTTGAAAAAACTATAAGTATACAGAAAATTTGGCCACCTTAGGAACGCTGGTTGACAAATCTTCTTTTCCAACCAACCTGCTAGCTGATTCATGATAAAACAACACCGACCAATAGCAATGTCAACTGGCTGACTTCCTGCTTTCCAGAGGGCATTCAATTTTGACTGCCATTCCATCATTAAAAAAATTAGAGAAAAACATTAATATTTCGGAAAAAAAGAACATTATTTCCATTTAAAAATGTCTAAAGGGGGGGGGTGTATACAGTGGTCAGAGAAGAGGCTTCATATTTAGATGGGGGGAAGCAAATGAAGATAAATGCCTAGAGAGGACAGAAAACATCACTAAAAGAAATCCAAATAACAAAGTTAAAAATTGTCAATCATCAAAATAACACTGCTAGAGGAGCAAACACTGTATCCGGTTCAATAAATATGCTACTTTGGTGGGGTTATAAATATGTGTGCGTTAGCCATTGAATGAAGAAAAATGAAATATCACAGAGAAATGTGCTTACTGACTTTAGCAGTCTTTTGCTCTCAGTGTTCAGAGAAAATTCTCCAGGGTAAAGTTGAGTACATTGCAGAGTTCGTTAATTTCACAAAGGTCTCGTATGAAAAAGAGAAGTTTATCTAACTGATCATCGTGCTCAGTTAGTAGGGGTGCTTTATTTCGAATTAAAGTACTTCTTTTTCTTAATTTAGGATGCGTTGCAGTGTTAGATGACATTGCTGAAGTTGTACTTCCATCCTGACCGGAAAAATGACGAGTTCTTTCACTTTTGTTCCTTAAATGGTGAGTTTTGGGGACTTTTGAAAAGACTATAAAGAAAGCACCAGTTTGTTGTACTCCAAAGGAAACAATTCTATCCAGAGGGATGCGTTTAAAACAGGCCATTCCAGACACACCACCCTCATTTTCATTGGGATAGATTGGATGCGCCAGCGCATTATCAAAGGTACATATTCTCAGAAGACTAATTATATCAAAACTGGGAGCAATCCAGATGGTTTCATCGGGGGACACTCCAGAAAAATTTACTAAATTGCAGGGAAAGTGGCGTATGCACGCACCAGCAGGATGAAGACGCCAGAAATACATTGTGTACGCGAATGTGGGTTTGGGAAGTCGGAATTCATTTGATTCCGCATTAGTCTCAGGGTCAGAAGTTTCTCGGCACACTTTATTCCAACGCTCTAGAAGTAGGAGTTTCAGCTCAATTAAGGCTTGATCATCACAACTCCAGGTGGCTAGGCAGGATTGGGGGAAGTATTTATCCGTTATTTGAGTCAGTGTGACCTCTTGTCGCCGTTGTAATTCCGCATAATCTACGTAGTCACTTCTACACATTAGAGCAGTTAATTCTAGCAAGTGCGTCCCACGGAGAATAATGTTAAGTTCACCCGAATACAGATCTGAATGCAATTGATGAGCAATAATGTCCATAATTCGATCGGTAAATGGGGAAGCGTGAACCACTGCCTTCTTCGAAACAGCAGTAATCCTAAAGACTAGATCAATTGTCATATCCTCTAAATTGAGCTCAGAACTCTGATCTGTTCTAATTAATTTGGACTCATAGAGAGAAATAACATCACAAATGCTCCATGCGTTTTCGAGGTAGATTAGTTTGGGCCTTGCCGGTGTTCTTCCAAATGCATATTGTGGTCCGGATATTCGGCAATAAAGTCCACAATGGCACAGCCCTTGTGCTACGGCCTCAGAAAGTTCCAGCTTACTTAGGAAACTTCCCATGAGCTGGGCAACTTTCATAGTTCCATCAAAACTAACCACCTCATAACCGCTAGGTAAACTGAAATGAATCGGAAGACTGAATGGAAGACTGTGGGTATAAGGATTTCGAAGTGAAATCGCAACAACTTCAAAACAGGAAGTGACAACTGTACGACCCCCACGAATACGACATCGCATAATCATATCCATACAAAAGGCTGCAAAACGACTGATTTCACTGTAGAGTCTTCTCGCTTCAAGAGATTTTCGTCGTCTCAATCTTGGAGACGATGTCTGTTCTTCTTGGCCAGTCTCAATACGAACGGAAAATTGAGTAAAGTATGCTTGTAAACAAGCTAAAACAGGAGGAGATGGAAGAAACAGGGTAGAATAAATGGCTAGACATTCCCACATAACGATAATAGGAATCCATTTGTAAAAGTATCCTGGAGGAGATCTAAATCTCTGTGAGGATTGGGACTGTTGCTGCCTATAGCTACTATGAGCTCGTCTGTGTTCTGCACCATCTCGGTGGCACAGTAGATCTACTACTCTTGGCGCACGTCTTTTTGTCGGTTCTGTTCCGAAATGTCGGGCTTCTGTTGGTAGAATTAGTGCGGAAGGGGTCGCTTGCCTGATCAACTGCAGAAATAGTTCGTCCTTCAGACCACTACTCTCAAAGCACATTTGAGCAACTTCTTTGATTAGGTTGTACTTATTAGCATCAACAGGAAGTCGAAATGATGTACTGGGACGATGTTCACTCTCTTCTAGTGACCTTCGGTCATGCAAATTTGACAGAGCAAGAAGTTTTTTAGATAACCTGATAGCATCGGCTTCAAGGGGATACTCAAGAACTCTAGAGATTGGTTCCTTAAGCACGCTTTCTGAGTGAGTTCTATGAAGAGAATAATATGGCTTAACTAATTGTCCCCATAAATGCAAAAAACGTGTTTCTGGTTGGATGGAAAGTGTCGTAGCATCGGCATTCAAGGAAGAAAACCAACAAGCTCGAAGAAGATTATGTTTCCAGCGCTCATATTCATCGGTGTTAGAGTAAACAAGATACACGGGATCATGATTGGAAGACCATAAAGCGATTGTAAAATTGTTATCTCCATTTTTACCAAATCCTGTTTCAGATTCTGTGATATCACAATCGTCATATGCTAGCTGAAAAGATTCAACGTCTGTGCCGGTTTCAACAGACGCATCCTCAAAAACTGCAGGACAACGAATGTACGTTGAGGAGAGATCTCGATATCCAATCAATATTTGGCCTCTAGAATCCCTTGAGTAAACAAGAAAGGTCCCCATCAGCATTCCCCAAACCCGATGGCCCTGCCCGCGTCGATACATTCTCAGCCAACCGCTTGCGACTAGTTGGGCTTCGTACATTTGAACAATCCTTTGGGCTTGGACTCGTCTTAATGTAAGACGAATTTTATTCTCCCACAAATGATTTTCAATTGGTATAATTGACCTTAGTGTGTAGATTCTTCCATTTGTCAAGACCAAATTGAAAGCAGAAGACTTAGCGTGCTTTACGCGACCATCAGTTCGAGGCTCACGGATTCTTTCCACGCGTTGAACGTCAGCCAAATCAATACACTTCTTTGGCCATTTATCTACCTCTGATTCATCGGTGTAAAAGAGAAGACTTTTATCTGCTAGAACGCACCAAAATGACTGCCATAATTTGAATCTTGAGCTAAGTTTCGATAGGCGACCGGCACAATGAGATAGCCTTTGATGCAATTCTAATATTTCTAATTCAGCGTTATTTGTGCTATCTTCCGTAGGAGGTAAATTGTATTCTGTTGAAGCGGGAGAACTACGATATTGACTAGCCGAAGGTATAGAGGATTGAGGAGGAAGTTGTATGATCTCCGGAGTCAGATTTGATAGTGGAATTCCAGCAGTTGAACGAGCTTCTTCGGAGGAGGTCTCATCACGACATAATCTGTCAAAATTATTTTGCCTTGCTTGGTAGAAGTAGTTAAGATTTTGTCGAAGATGTTGAGCGGGTATACTTTGAATAGCAAAACAGTGCCTTCGAACACAGGTGTATGCATGAAGATGACTAAATAAACCATCTAATTCCCTAGCAACTTCTGTGTAACGACTAAAAACAATCGCCGCATGAAGACCTTCATCTTGAACCGCTTCAGATGTGGTAAACAAATCATTCAGAAAATCATCAGAGGAACCGACTTTCACCCGAGGCTTATGGGAGCTTCTTGTGAGTGCTCGTCTCAGTGAATGAGGCCTGTAGACTTTTCGTTTAGCTCTCCCAGCAATACTCTCTGTCCTTCGTGGACTTGGTGGAGTTCCGAAGATTGGTTTACTCTCCATTTGTACGGGTTCTTGAACGGTAGTTTCTAACCACTTGAAAGCTGAACGCCTTGCCTCTTCAATTCCACGAATGATTGCCTGACGGGATATATACTTATATGGAGATGGAGGGAGGGAAAGTGAAAATTTTGGACGATGGATTAAAACCGGAGTATGAGGAGTGGAATAAGCTCCAACCTTTGATGGTTCGCGAGAATGCAAAGGGGGAGCTGTTTCTGAAGAAGCAATCGATTCATTTGAATATGAAAGTGCTGGGGAAAGTGGAGGGATATGAAATTCCCAATCGACCTGATCTTCTGAAACTTGGGAAATGGAAGGTGAATGGTAAGGAGGAGCAGTAGTCGGAGTTGGGGTGATAAACTCTTCTCCTTGGACATCTACTTCTTGTTGGCCTTCTTCTGGAGAGGACAGCTCCAGACTCATCTTCTGCACTGGGTCCTTTGCAAGAACAATTTCATCGAAGGTATCAGAAAGACTAGAGTACTCAGTAATCGAAACACGTCCATTCGACTCCATCATACTCATCGACTCCGCTGAAGCAAGAGGAGCTCGTTCAGGACTGCTAGATGGGCGTTCAAACGCCGGTGATTGGACTAATTCACGTAGGAGTTTGGACACATCTTCCAAATCTCCACTATGTCGAACGAAGCGTTCCGAAGCCATACGTCGTAGGACATGATTGAGTTGCCGTTGTAGATGGGACTTTTCTGCCTTTAAACGCTTATTGATTAATTCTAGATTGTGTAATTTAGCAAAAACAGACTTCCTTTCTGCCTGACTCCATGGTGATGAAATTGATGGTTGTTCGGCTGAGCCTTCTGATGATTTTTCTGACGATGGACCCAGTTGCATCACATAATATCCTCATTTGGAATTCCTTCACATTGCCTGTTTAGTAGAGAATGCATGAGAATTCCAAGTAGTTTAATCCTATGACCAAGAAGGGCAAATGCAAAATTTGCTTTATAGAAATAATAAAAGCCTAAGAATAAACGCGAAGCCTTGCGTGTCTAGCGTGATTGTGCGTGCACTGTACAGTCAGGCTAACAGCCCGGCTATGCGTGCCCTAGCGTCACACCGTAGGCAAGAGAAAGATAATAAAGGTGGTGAGTTAGGAGCTTTCAGATTGGCTAGCACTCTATTTCATCCTGATTGGCAGTTAGACCCTAGTCTGTGTGCGTGCGTGCTACCCTGTAAAAACGATGGCCAATTGAAATCATCTCGTGGGTTTAAATTGTTGTGAATTTACTTGCTCTACTGTAACGCGATACATTGTTAGCAAAAAGGAAAATGAATGGGATAAGCCACTTCATTCATTAGGAATCTTCAATCGGAAAGAAAAATTCAGAAAGTCAAAATATGAAATAGGTTTCTTAGCCAGTTTTTTGTATACATAACCTCACTAATGGTAAGCATATTATCTACTAAGGCAGCCATCACAAGATACCTATTCAAGACTTCAAGATCGTACCCATTTCATGACAATCGAAGGAAAACTTACATGTAAGAAACATTGGGAAGAAAATCAGAATACACAAATATCTTTGAGATAACGCGCGTTGTCACAAAGAATTCCGATTGATTGATTACTTGAATAAATATTCCTTAATAATCACAGTTCCAATAAGCTCTGAACACCCACTAAACGCCAGTAAAATAATATTTTACTAATCAACGGACAATATCATTGAGAATTATTTTCACTCTTGCTCCTCTAACAAATTGGAAACTTTAATAAGAACTAAGAATGACAGTAGTATTCCCCTGGAAGCAGATCTTGGTCAAAATGAAGTAGGGGTTTAGTAACTTTCAACGTTAACTTGTATGTATTTGACAAACGTATTGTTCTTTCTTTTTCGCATTCTGTTCGTACATAACAAATGTGAGATGCTGGAAACTGCGGTTGCATACCCAGTTGATGAATCATAAGAATATTGGGACGATGGTTGGGCATCTAACGGAAGGAGTTGCCATCTTTTTAGCAATCCTAAATAAAGAAGATAAAACAAACAGCAAATTTCAGTATATTACTATGAATTCCTGATAAGATATCTGCAAAATAGAATCCTGAGAGTCTTTGAAGTGTAACAATTATATCTACACTTTAATTAGTAAATTATTAATTTAATTACTGGAGATCTGTAAGTAAGAAGATAGTCAGAAACCGAAAGCGAAAGATCTCCTGCATTTTGACATTTAATGATGTCCCAACGTTCGAATGGCCGGATGTGAATCTAAGATTTCTTCACTTGTATTTGCTGTGTTAACTTTTATTCCAAACCATTCATTCAGTGTTAAAATCGTGTTTAGATTAAAGTAAAGTTATGACAACTACGATCGTAAAGTTCACGTTGACCGGGTCTGGAATTCAACTGATATTCAAAGGAGGCATCAATCGTGGAATAATATGGGTGCACTGCAATGATTTGTTGACTGAATTTCAAGAACTTCTGCCACCTGCCTATTCACTGTGGTAAAGGCTGTGCAACCTCACGAGCGCAGTCAGCTGAACCAAGAATCTTCCTTCTCTTGACTATACTCTCATCCCGCTTCGATTCACTCTCCTTTGCAAGTTGTTCAATATTCCATGAGAAAATGTGATGAAATTGGCATAATTTTGGTAGTTGATTTTCACGAACTGTGTCAGATCAAAAGTGCACTAGTATCGTGATAATTGGCATGAAATACATTTTTGCACAAAACCATATTTCAAAAACAAAAATGAGACGATGGCTAAGGGATGTAGCTGAAATTGTGTTAATGCTAACACAAAAGTTGACAACAGCTAGCCGTGGATAAAGATCGTGGATTAGATAAACTTCGTCAGAAGTAGAATGCAAGTGATGCATATTGTAAGTGAATAAGTAATCACTGGTGAGCTACACTGACAGTGCATATGAAAATATTGGGTGGGCCATGAGTGGATGGGGAAATTAACTGGAAACATAGATATGGTGGAGTTCTTCATTCCATTTCTGATTTGCTTGCCGTTTAGAGTAGCTAGGGCTGTGTCATATAGAGACATATTTATTGGATGAATTCACGTCTCGACAGAGCGAATAGTGCGACTATTCCACTTAGTGGCACAATTGGCTGGTTCAGAAGCAACCTAAATGTTACCTTAAACTGATGAGTGGGTAGGAATATGGAGAGGCCAAGGAAATACTCCTTCATAAGTAAGTTGAGTGACATGATTAATGGGTTCTCAAACTGCTACTACTTTACTCTCAAGTCATCATGTGGCATTAAACATGCTATAGTGCTATATAGTACTGTTATCTTTTAAATAACTCAAAAAAACAATTCTTTTTTCCTATTTTTAGGTTGAGGAACATTTGGTTAACGTCAACCACCACAACTCTCCGAACAAATTGAAGTCTGATTCAGCAGAATGCTTGTTGATGCTGCAGCAGATTAAAACGCAATGAAATTCAATCTGATTGCGTCTAAAGATCCGAGTGATGGAGTTGGTCAAATTCATCCTTCACACGTCTGATAATGTATGAACTAAGAAAGTGTGATTCAATTTCATTAATAAACCCTAAAGCCAATGTCACTTTTAATCCACTCAGATGTTGTTAATGGTATGTCATTCCAGGTGGAACTGTGAGTATACAAGAGTAGTTTCACCTTAGTAGTTAACGGGCTCTAATTAAAATAACGTTGTAAATAATAGGCAATAAAAATGAGAAATAAGTTTTTATAGCCACGATTACAACGAATAAATAATTGAAATTTCAGTGTTTTAAAACTCGAAGATCATTTAGAACGTCGTTTCCAGGAGGCGCGCTCAATTAATTGTACAATCGTTGAAAGTTTTGCCTTTATTGTGATTTTAAGTGGCGTATATTTTCTGTTGTAAGCTGATGCCTCTATGTTGGCGCCTCAAGTGAAAATCGATAAAATGAATTTAAAGAAAGTAGCCCCCTCCCCTCTCCCTCCCTCAGGTAGAGAATTTAAGTAGCCTCGATTTTGCCTATTTTCAAAAGGTGCTAGAAGACAGCAGCTAGAAGACTGTGCTCCAAGTCATCATGCGGCATTTAAAATGTTGTATTGAGGGGCATTCTGTGCACGCAGAGTGCGGCAGATACGTCGCGATCTTCACTTGACACTACGCAGAGGAGAATAAGAATGTTGCTCAATCTACACTTAATCAATGTACCGAAAGTGATTAATCAAGGCAGTTTGTTAAGCTGTATATTTGTCGTGGTAGCATTTGGAGGTTTGAAATATTCCGTAAACACATATTATACTGAGCCAGGCTTTGCTTATGCTTACAGTATTTCGTGTCAATCTGCAATCACTGTACTCATACTAATTAAGTAGAACGTAAGTTATGATAAAGAAGCAAGGCACCAAGCCAATTCGCCGGCAATTTATAAAGAAATTATATTAATATTCACGCAGAGTTTTATAGTAGAGTGAACACAAAGATCAGGAGGTCGTAAATGAAATGGAGTAAACTGGTCCCAAGTGAGCAATTCTCATAGGTCCCGCAGAAATGCCAAAATGTAAAAGTAATTACCAAAGCAGACACTGAAGGCAGAGAAAGGAATGAAGAGAGATGGCGAAAAAATGAATGACGCCTAAAGGGGTAAAGAAAAAGGAGAGAAGAACAGCTCGAAGAAATGTCTATCTTATAAAGTCCCTGTGGGT